TATTTACAAATAAATGATATAATAGAAACTATATTTACCTTCATTCACATGATGTGAATCTAAATTATCGTTTTCGTCGCGAACTATATCTTGTTGTTTCTCGACATCAATAAGCAGTTGTAAAAAGTCGTTATACTTTTTGCCCTCACTTTTAGTCCTATTGGCCATAATCTGTCGAATCGATCCAATGAAGAACTCTCTGGTGTGAGAAGTAGACAAACCAAACAATTTTTGCAAAACCGATGGCAACATAAGGATCGCAACCCTTTTGATAGGGTTTGTGTTGAAAGCGATTCTGGCGTTCACTACAAACGGATTATCCAACGACTTGTGGACATCGGTTTTGGTGGCGAAGGCACACGTGGCGATCACATCCATCGTATAGTTGCCGTACATATCCTTTACATCGATTTCTTCTCTCTTAAGAGCGAATGTCTCCAAATGGTTCATAAAGTCATTCAAACACTCCTTAATTCTGGGATACATTTTCTTCATCTTTCCCGAAGTGAATGTCGGGCTAACTATAGAGCGAACTCTCTTCCAGTCATCGCCTGTTAATTGGGTTAAATTTCTACTCATAATCGGATCCTTCGTTTGCGCGAATTTGCTTCGATCGGGAAAGAGATGGAAGTCTTTCACCAAAACGTTTTTAATTAGCTTTGGATCACTTATGGTTAGGATTGCAGTTTTGCCCAAAAAGTGTCTATAAATACGAAATTAGTTCACAAATATTAATACATGTTACGAATGTAATAATTACAATCATTTACTAACCCATAAATCTTTCCATAATTTTTAAACCATTTGAGTTCTTGTATTGGTTGCGGTATTATAAAGAAGTCCAATAGATTGCCAAATATGGGAATAGGCCTAGGTCCTTTAATACCCCTCTTAGACCAATGGTTTAAACCCCGCGACAAATACCTATTTTGCAATTATATAATTTGCATTTTAATAATTTACTTATAAATTTTATAATCAATTATATATTTACCAATAAATTAAAGGTACGATTGATAATAATGTCAAAATAATAATATGAAGTACATCCATTTTATAAATTATAACAATAATATTTTAAAAGTATTGTATTTGTTAATGAATTATATTTAAATAGATCAATTTTGAACTGTAAATGCTAAATAGCATACTAAAGTCACTATTTATACCAATTTCAGAGCGAGATTAGTACTTTCGTTTCGATTTCGTATACCATATTATTATTATTTATCTCACGGTATTTTCTATTAGCAACTTAGTACTTAAATCAATTATCAGATATTATGATAAACAATAATTAGTAAATCACTATATTATTGCTTACATTTTATGTGATATTACTACAGTATTATTTTTCTTATTTGTACCAAAGTTTATGGCAATTAAGCTTAATAATCATGCAATTGATGTGAATATTGGTACAGAGTTTCAGTGTGTTATCAATTGGTACATAATTTTATCATTAATTTAGTAGTACTAAATTAGTACATTAGTTATAACTTTTAATGTAAATGTATAATGTCTGAGGAGTTTATCATTGATTTTTAAACAAATTTTCAATTAAACAAGGAGGAGTTATTTTTTAACCATTAAGCTAAATACGCCCCTTGTGACTATCTTGCTTACAATTACAATGTTATGGATTCTTTGGAATTTTATTTCATAAATAAGTCCAATGATTCTCTAATACAGTATAATATTTTAGTAAAACACTAGTTTAGTGGCAACTTCTTCATAGCCTTCAACAACTATAAATTACAGATACAATATTGTACAAAAAGAAAACATGATAAAAATTAGGACTAAAGTGTACCAAATAATTTAAGTACGAATTCATTGTACTTAATCAGTAAAACAGTATTAACCAATTTTATTGATCAAAAGTGTAATGAAAGTCTAATGATTTACTAAATTTGGTGTACATGTTAAAAAACGGATGCTCAAGCTATGGATATTACAGACAAAAACATTATTGTTTAATAAAATAGAAAAATTATGATTAAGAGTCCTAATTTAGGACTAAAGTGTACCAAAATTGCATACGTCTAAAACAATTTACTTACAACAATAGATTATTTGATTCATTAACGTAAACATAGAGATAATTAATGATATTTACTAGAAATTAGTTTTCTATCTTTAATTTAAAATTAGATTTATTTGTGGAATAAAATAAATTTAAGATTTTAAACGCCAATTATTAGCATAAATTACATTAATATCTTTATCTTCTATATTATATAATATTGATAATATTTACAGTATTTGTATTAAATATAATATATTCTAGAATAAAAACATTTACCAGGAGCTGGTAATTACAAATTAAGTATATAACAACTATCAAATAGTTTACAATCTCTTTTCAATGCCTACAATAAGCCTTTGAGGAGCCGTCAGACCCAATGATCTCTTATACTTAATCGGAACGTCTGTATTAGGCGTCTGAAAGAACTTGTATTTCGTGACGATATGAGCCAACGCTAACTTCGCTTCGAGTAATGCAAACCTCATACCAATGCAATTGCGAGGACCGGCACCGAAGGGCAGGTAAGTGTACGGAATTATATTATGCCTATTTTCGGGCATAAATCTATCAGGGTTGAATTGAAATGGCTTGGGGTAATATTCTTCCGATGTGTGGATCGCATATATGGGAAAATCAATTTGTTGTCCGGCTTTCAATGTGATGCCGGTTTCGCCCAATGGATAGTTAGTTGTGGCCATTCGTGATAACCGTTGGACTGGAGTGTGAAGCCTAAGTGTCTCTGAGATGACTGAATCCAAATACGGAAGTTTTGCCAACTCTTCATATATTATCTCTCCGTTGGAATCCATTACAGAATTAACTTCTTTGCAGAGAATATCCTGAATGTGAGGATTGAGTGCCAATTCATACGTGCAAAATGACAGTAGAGTTCCAGTCGTCTCATACCCGGCCAACATAAACACCAACGCCTGAGCCATCACTTCGTTATCAGTCAAATGTTTGTTTACAATATTTATATTCAACGCTTTCCTCTCAACTGACAGCTCTTCTTCACCTAATGATTGATATAAAGTTAGATTAAATTATGATTTTGTATAGTAATTATTTAATTATA